GAAAATGTTTCAGAAACGAGATATTCAGCTGGGTTTTAGGCGAGTCTCTCGAAAAACTAAATTGGTTTGTACATTCGCTAATTTCGTGCAATCTTATTTCAAATAGAACATAAGGTTGGCGGAAACTCGGAGACTGTGCCTATCTGAGGAGCCCGAAGTGGGAGGGCGAAACAGGTCGTGGGCTGTCGACGGATTTTCAGCAACCTTATGAGTAAGGCTTTACTGAAAACTAATCGGAGTCATATGGCTGGTGGTCCCACGCCTCTTGGGGCGCACGCGGTGGGCGCGGTTTTCGAGTTTTCCCCGAACCTTTAGTTCTACCCAACGTTCGCTGAATTGGCGAGGTAGACAGATAGAGTTACTTTAGTAGCGATTCGTTGTACACCACGCTCGATCGACCATGATTAGCTGGCTTATCCATCACTGTGTGAAAAACTCACGCCTCCGCTATCACAAGGAACCAATTTTGTGGACCGGGTCGGTGTAAAGTTCATAAACAATCCGTGCAAACTTCATAGTAGCATGAAGTCACTTATTAGGTCAGATTGTGAACACCTGGCCAACTTTTGAAGCGGTAACTCGACGGCGTAGCTATTCTGAATAAACACGTCTACAGGTCGTCAAACTTATGCCTGATCTAACTGCGAAAACTAATTGTGTGATCGGTCCGATTTGCACCACCAAGTAGGAACACCTTCGAAAAAATGTTGTACTCAGGTGAAATGTGGAGGTACCATTGGTTGGAACTTTTATCTGTGCGAAAGCAAACTTCTTTTTGTCGATGATTCACATGAAAACTGATCATTACGTTTGAACTGGACTGAGCCTCACAAAAGAGCGAGGTCAAACTGTGGACTGCGACCTACCCTGGGACTGTAAACTCGCAATTTTCGCTGGGATTTAGGTGAATCCTAGCCAAATCAGTAGTCTGTTTTGCTGAACATCTGGTCACCTAGTTTGCCGTGAATCAATGAAAGCCCAGGACTCAGCTCTTCAGGCGTAATTTTTTACATATTTACTATCCATGCAAGAACTAACCGGATACTTCGCGTACAACCACTGCCAACTGGGAATATTTCGTTTGTCCGAAAATTCAGACAGGTGAATAACCATATATACTACTCATAAGGTTGCTGAAAATTCCCCGACAGCCCACGACCGGTTTCGCCCTCCCACATCGGGCTCCTCAGACAGGCACAGTCCCCGAGTTTTTGTCAACCTTATGTTCTACTCGAAACCAAATTGCACGAAATTAGCGATTATACACTCATTTGCAAACTAATTTGGTTTCTCGAGAGACTCACCTGGAACTAGCTGGATCTCTCGTTTGTGATGTTCCTCGAATATCGTAGCGACTGAAACACGAGGCGGCCTGTTGCAGCACATTCAGTTGCCTGGGAACATTACAAACCATAGATTCAGCTGGGCCTCAGGGGAGTCTCGCAAAACCAAGTTAGTGTGCAAACGAGTGTATTTCTCACATCGACGAACATTTGCAAATCTACAGTTCAGTCGAACTCGGTTTACTAATCTCAAGAAATTAGTGGGCATACCAATTGATCAATCAAAACAAATCATCCGACATCAGTTTTAATTCTGGAACGTTTGAAATTAGGCGACCATCTGCCCCGAGTTAGGCGTGCTGGTTGGTTGGAGGCCACTGAGCAAGTGGAATTTAGGATTCCGACAGAAGTCAGATCCCCGTGAATGATTTCTCATGTGGTATTCGAATGAGGCGCAAATTGAATCACAAATACGCGAGGATTGTGACAACGTTTTTTCTTGTTTAGGCCGGGCACATGCAGTTTGGTTAGTGAATTTTAATTTAGGAAGTGCAGAAAGCAAGCTGTGCCTCTGCGGAAGCTCATCGGCAGTCTTGAACACGTCCGCGTTTGAAGCTCCTAGCACTATTGACGCTTCGGAGTTATCGCGTCTGAGCAGGTGAACACATCCACACTTTAGTGATAGGAATGGTTTATCCGGCTCACAACTTTTGGATTCAGAAAGTGGCCTTCCGCAATAAGGCCGTGTTTCAAAAGGAACTCCAGTGAGACAGCCTTGGTATCTAAGTCGGGGGAGCATACATTCAGCGCCTAACCAGACTCACTTGGCGTCCTATTTTCTAAAGTCTTACTGCTATAAGCTTCTGTTCCATCGAGCTATTCTGCGCACAGCTAGGGATTAGTTTGTCGAACTTCGAACTTCCTTCAAAGCAGAGGAATCATCTCATTCTATACTGCCGCACCAAACATTGCCGACTTGCTGTTATGTTCGTCTGAACCGCGACTAGTGTACATTCCTTGAATGAGTTCCATTTCGTTACGCACAACAATACACAGGTTATCTGGAAAGCATTATTTGCTACGGAATGTTGAGTGTGACATTGCATTCAGTGTTTATCCTGAAGGTCCCTCACCTCGTGTGGCCTCACTTTGCTGGACAAGTCAGTGTGGATCCCGTCGATCTTTCCAACACATCTCACGGCGCATCCACACTTTCCGCTTTGAAGGGCATTGACACCTAGTCACTGCCGTGTCCTCATTTGTGGACAGGGCATGATGAATCAACTAATCAATTGGTTTCCAAGGGCCAAGCACATAGAAAAGCGAAGCTCCGTTCTCAAGAGTAGTCTGGCACAAGAAGATCTATCCGAGGAATAATCGATAAATCATTACGAGTTTCAAGTTTGGAAGCTTTGCGAGGTGCTTTGTGATCCGCTGCTTGTCCAGTAGCATGGTCAAATCCACGTCGCTTTTCGCGGTTGCGCAGCGCGCGTGAATTCTTACTGGACATCGAAGATGATCATTCAAGTAACTGAAAGTACAGCTATCCATCGAGTATTGGCATGAAACAGAAGACGCAGAACTAAACAAGAACTAGTTTAATGGGAGTAGTGATGCCCACATGAAAAAACACGTGACCACCTCGACTGGTCATGTGGCTCTCGGATTACCGATTCCTCATCAGTTCTGTTTTGGGTCTTTAGATGAACACATCATGGTCAAAAAAGTATAATTGACGGATACGCAACAATGCGATGTGCTATCCGGGTAAGATATTGATTTTTCAGACAGATATTCAATCTTTGCTTAGGTTGAATTCGATAGATTTGCAGGTGTTTGCGGGAGGTGTGAAGTTCAAATTCACATCACAACCGCCTGGGCAGTCTTCCATTTGTCCTGGCGTAATCATTCAGGTGAGTCCAATCCTGAATGGAATAGATACTAAACTTGATTATCCTTCATACTGAGGGTTATAAGTAGTATTTATCCTCCGCCGTGCCGGAGTTCGAAATTCGGACAAGCGATGCAAGCCGGGCAACACTACTCAACCAGTGCACGCTGGACGCATCTGAATTTTCACGTTTAAACGGGCAAAAGTGTTCACATTTGAGCAATGTGAATGATGGGTCTGACTATCGAACGGCGAACCGTTACCTGCCTTGGTTTTAATGATCGATCGACGAACCTCTTAGGTTTTCCCAGTCAACTAGTAACTTGTAACTTGTTAGGTAATATGCCGTAGGTGTTTGCCCGTTCAATGGTGAAAGTTCCAATGCGTTCATCTTGCCCTGATGCAGTTTAGATAGCCGGGGTTCGAACCTGAGTACGTCAAGAGATATGCACTGTTGATGGACTCTACTAAGAACAAAACTCGAGTTTTTAATGAATAGGTTAGCCCGCTTCAACACGGTTTCCGATGAATTTATTCAAAACTGATATCTCCGAACAGTGCAATATAGGATCTAAAGTTCTATTTCAGTGTGTTTGGTCGAGAGATGTATTTTACACATCGTTCATTCATCCGAATCGATCTGCTGTAGTCGGTCACGTGCGATTAAATGTTGGCAACAAGAAGATGTCCTCAAACGTAAAAAAACATCACACTCAATTCGATTGAACCCGGACCATCGTAAAGGACAGTAGTTTGTTCCACGACGTGACCAAATTTCAGTACTGCTTCCTGGACGGCTCGAGATTTACAAGTCGAGCAATCTGGGGTGGCTTGTGTGAACGTTATCCGGAACGCGATAAACAAACGGTTCTTAGGCGTACTTCTCCTCAGCTAGAGGGTAGATGCAGTCAGTACCGTAAGAAACGTTCGTTTTATGTGGTTCCTCAGCAAGTTTTCCAGAAATATCGAAACATCTTACGTCATACAGGACGTTGAATATACTCTCTCTGTGCACAGAAAACACGGCTCATTAAAATAAATCCACTGGGATGATGATCAAGGCAATTTGTGAACCGTCATCGATTGTTGTCGAAGATAATTGTTCACTAGATAAGTCTAAAACTGGTTGAGCGATTATCGTTCCGTGACGTTTGGTTAGGTTATCGATTGATTTTATCACTCTTCGCAAGATCGATGAGAATTCTGGACAAACTGCTACTTGTTTCGTCCTTTTCTGGTCCTATTAGTTTATTCTCGATTGCACATAATTTAGTGCGTATTTTTCAAAAATTCATCATTTCTAAGTGAGTTTGCTTTTTACGTGAAACTTCTCTAAAAACCCCCCACAAATCTCGTTCTCACACCTCTTTCTGCATACTGTATTTTGAATGAGATATGAACAAATTTGTGTTACACGTAATGTACTACTCATAAGGTTGCCGAAAATTCTCCGACAGCCCACGACCGGTTTCGCCCTCCCACTTCGGGCTCCCCAGGTAGGCACCGTCCCCAGGTGTCCGTCAACCTTATGGTCTACTTGAAACTAAAGTGCAAGAAAGTAGCGAAATACACTCACTTGCAAACTTCGGGTTTCTGGGAGACTCACCTGGAACCCAGCTTTTTTAGGCACTTGAATGTGTCTCGTGTTTCAAATGGCACGATATTCGAGACATCGTGATGCATGTATATACGTAATGCACTACTCAGAAAGTTGCCGAAATTCGCTCGACATCATAAACGAGAGATTCAGCTGGGTTCCAGGTGGGTCGCCCGAAAAACCAAATGTGTTTGCAAATGAGTGTATTTGGCTACAGTCGTGTTAAACTATGAAAAATATCACTAAGAATTCAAGGACCAGGTCACCAGAACGAAACCTAAGTGGGGTGGTACCGCAGGTGAGCTAACCAGGGTTTCCATCAACCGTATGAATACTGAAGCGTGTCGTTATTGACAAAAAAGCCTGTTCATTCCTGGTGACAGGGTCCCACGTCCAATCAGGTTTTACAGTGGACCTAAAGTCATTTAACCTATTTTTGAAGGCCAAAGCAATCTCAGTTAGCGGCTGTTAGTGTGGGGGAGCAAGGAATAAGACGGCTAAACATGCCTGAATTTAAGCCGGACCTATGGACCAGTTCTTCTGAATTTCTTCGTGTGAGGATTCTTCTTGAGTGTTGTTTGCGGCTTTCCTGAAAGTAACTGCTCACAAGCTTGATGAATACTCTTCAACAACCTACGACAGATTTCGTCGCTGTTGGCGCAGCTCCCCAGTCTTCATCAATCTGATGCTCTGCTTCAATCCAAATTGGACGGAACTCGCCAGATCTCCTCAGTTGCTTCCGAATTTCGATTGGATGAGAGAATCAACGGAATTCCGTTGAATCTCTCGTCATTCAACCGAATGTAACGCACACAGGCAGTCTCATGTTTCAGTTGGAACGAAATTCGAGATATGTTCTTGAAGGAAACTACTCACATCCATCAGCTTTTCGAGTGAGTACAGGAAGAGCCCGGGACCTCTTGCACGGATTTTGGCGCCATAGCTGTAAATCAATCAACATGCAGATTGACCAGCGTGCTACATCGGCTGTCGCGTTGTAACATCAGTCGAGTTGCTTTCTGTGCTGTATACAGTGGGGCGAACAAGTCAAGACATACGACTGATGATGCTTCATACCCCCCCTCGCCTTTATCTCTTAACTCCTCTTAATCACAGCTGAATATGTTTGTAGAAATGACAAGCCGCAAGCGACCACTCACATCCACCGCATGACCTCGTTCTTCTGTATTTGTTACAGCGTTGAAAGTGAAAACCCTTAACCAGATGGTCATTGCGCTGCTCTTGCGCCTACTGTGGACACTCCATCGTTGACTGAACCTCTGAACTTCACACAGACGATATGAGCAGAGTTGTAGAGGTTACGACATCCTGTCTGTCTCTCTAGACCCTGAGGACTATGAACTTGCTGCGGTTATACCGCAGCGGCGTCAGCAGGTCGCCGCGGTGTTGGCACTGTCCCAGGTGCTGGGGCTGACAATAGGGTGTCTTTGTGTCCCATCTTGGCAGGGCCGTTTAACGACAAGAAAGCGTTCCCGCCAATCAGTGTTGGAAAAGGATACCTGAACAGATGGCTCCAATCATAGCGGCATGACTCTCACGCTTGTCGTAACATGAGTAATGGTTTCCGCTATATTACTACGCAAGTCCGAGAGCACCACACAGGATTTCGACCAAACAGGGGGTCCGTAGCTTAACATCACCTCAAGTGCTTGAACAGTGTCACATCTACCGCCAATCAATAATCTTGGTTTTTCTGGAATTTAAAGGAGTCCTTGGCTGTGTCAGTAGGTTGACCCCTCTGGATATTCTTGTTTGGAAGGTAACGCCGTTGACTCCCTATATTTCTAATCCCCCGGTCGTGTTACGGTGTACAGTAAACTGATTGAAAACTTTCCCACGACCGCTGGAGTTTCTGCGAGTTGTCCCCTCTCTGATTCTGCCTTCAACTTCCTCATCGACGTTATCATGGAGTGATATCGAAATCACGTCTGGAGGTGGTCGTTGGTTTTACGCGCAAAGTCCTACTTCCATATTTCCCATAGTATTGTGCTCCTCAGAAACTCCATTTTGAAGCTGAGTTTTTCGTCGGTCCACCCACGTTGGCGTCTGCACCATCTGTGGTTGTACTTTGACATAGCAGCTCACCTGGCGGATCACCAAGGCCTGGGTAGCGTGCGCTAACTTGCGTCATTTGCAGTTTCAAGAACGACTTCCCGAGAAGTCAGTTGGCTGTGTATACAAGACAACTTTGAAGGGGATTCAAATTTATGGTGGTATAAATTGACCCCTCTAATCCATCGATACTGGACACTCTCGAACGTGTTTGATCGTCGGTGACTCCGTAGAACAGCAACGGTTAGCTGGCTGCAGCGATTACGCAGGCGGGCCCCTGTTTACAAAAATGGACATAGAATCGACCGGGCTAGCATGAATGGTGCCAGTTTTACCCGCGGCGTAGAGGTGACATCAGCTTATCCAGCAAGGATCGATTTTACAATGCTGCGGTGCGGTTCATTTTACTATACGGGTCGGAAAACTGGCTGAGAACGTCAAAAGACTTTCATTGTTTGACCATCGATGTCTTCAGAGTATTGCCCGAATCTGGTGGGGACACCGGAGCAGCAATGCTGAAGTACGTCGTATGGTATTCGGGAGAGATAACTCCCCCTCGATAGATGAACTGATCATACTGAATAGGTTGCGCTGGCTTGGCCACGTGCTGCATATGCCAGTCGACCGACTTCCTCGAAGGGCTCTTTTCGCACAACC